GGTTCTCTTGTCTGGAATATGAATGTAGCTGTCACTTCTGTACTGCAGGGCAGTGTGGATCCATGGGGACTTCCTCCATTAACTGGAATATTCTGCACACCCTACCCTAGAGGCCACCCTATGGGCTCCTGGGCACATCTACCTCCTCAACCTTGGTGGCCCTGGGGACCACCCTAAACCCCTCCACCTGCACCACTTGGTAAGATGATCTGAGGAGTATGAGTTGACTTGCAAAGCACATTCATCTAATTTTTGTTGTTGTTGAGTCTTGGACGAGGTGCAGAGGTGTTACCACAGGGCATTATAATGCAAGAGAATTGTGTCTGCCACCATTACCACATTCCTCAAGTGTCTCATGACCCATAGATCATCTTTGTGTCATTTTCCCCACCCTGTGTTGGTACAGGTGTCTCTTGTGGAGATGGAATGGGGCTGTATACAGAAAAGCAGGCATAGCACTTCAGCACATGTGTGCCATACACAGTCCATGTGCTGGGTGGTGGGAGGCATGAGGCTCAGCCTAACGTATATCCATCCAGTTGAGCCCCCAGACATCCACAGTTGTTTGATGAGTCATGAAAACACCTGAACCAGGGCTATAACAGGTCTTCATCAAAGTTTAAGGGATGGTTCTCCCCTTCACCTTGGGATCACCTGAAGCATGTGGGATACCCTCTGCATGTGATTGGGGATATGACTAGGCCAAAGAGTTTAAGTTGTTTGAGGAATGAGGTGATTTTTTTTGTCTTGTCTCTGAACAATCTACTCCAATCAAAATAAACATCCATCCCTTCTAGGGTCTTTTGCAGATCCAGATTTTGCTCCCATGATTGACAATAACACTGACTCTACCAAAAGGACCAAGAAGGATAAGGTAAGTGCTATGGACATTTTCAGTTGTAACTCTTTTGGGAAACCCTCATTTTCCTTCAGCACTCTCTCCTGGCATTGTGTCTGTTTTGTGTGTTGTATGATATGTCTACTTGTTTTTCTTATTTTGTAAATGCACAACCTTAACTCGAGTGTCTCTGAGCTTGTCTATTTTCATCCTGTCAACTCTTTGTGGTGAGTTTAGAAGTCAAACATGGTCAGGGATGAGGACCTGAGGGCTTTTCCAGTATGTTCCTGGAAATAACCCAAGGAGGATGACACCACACTCCACCTGGAAGTCTTCCGGCATGCCTCATTTTTTCCGGACCTCCTCAAAGTGGAATCATTGCTCTTGCTGTTACTTCCTGTTCTGTTTCTGTCTAGGGGATTAACATGCTCAGAAAATCTGCAGTTATCATTATGGGAGGAAAATGCAAAATGCCTTCACTCCAATTTTATTTTTGTATGTGTTATTTATTTATTTATTTATTTATTTATTTATTTATTTTAATTTATATATGAAATTTATTGTCAAATTGGTTTCCATACAACACCCAGTGCTCATCCCAAAAGGTGCCCTCCTCAATACCCATCACCCACCCTCTCCTCCCTCCCACCCCCCATCAACCCTCAGTTTGCTCTCAGTTCTCAACAGTCTCTTATGCTTTGGCTCTCTCCCACTCTAACCTCTTTTTCTTTTTTCTTTTTTTCCTTCCCCTCCCCCATGGGTTCCTGTTAAGTTTCTCAGGATCCACATAAGAGTGAAACCATATGGTATCTGTCTTTCTCTGTATGGCTTATTTCACTTAGCATCACACTCTCCAGTTCCATCCACGTTGCTACAAAAGGCCATATTTCATTTTTTCTCATTGCCACGTAGTATTCCATAGTGTATATAAACCACAATTTCTTTATCCATTCATCAGTTGATGGACATTTAGGCTCTTTCCATAATTTGGCTATTGTTGAGAGTGCTGCTATGAACATTGGGGTACAAGTGCCCCTATGCATCAGTACTCCTGTGTCCCTTGGATAAATTCCTAGCAGTGCTATTGCAGAGTCATAGGGTAGGTCTATTTTTAATTTTCTGAGGAACCTCCACACTGCTTTCCAGAGCGGCTGCACCAATTTGCATTCCCACCAACAGTGCAAGAGGATTCCCGTTTCTCCACATCCTCTCCAGCATCTATAGTCTCCTGATTTGTTCATTTTGGCCACTCTGACTGGCGTGAGGTGATACCTGAGTGTGGTTTTGATTTGTATTTCCCTGATGAGGAGCGACGCTGAACATCTTTTCATGTGCCTGTTGGCCATCCGGATGTCTTCTTTAGAGAAGTGTCTATTCATGTTTTCTGCCCATTTCTTCACTGGGTTATTTGCTTTTCGGGTGTGGAGTTTGGTGAGTTCTTTATAGATTTTGGATACTAGCCCTTTGTCCGATATGTCATTTGCAAATATCTTTTCCCATTCCGTTGGTTGCCTTTTAGTTTTGTTGGTTGTTTCCTTTGCTGTGCAGAAGCTTTTTATCTTCATAAGGTCCCAGTAATTCACTTTTGCTTTTAATTCCCTTGCCTTTGGGGATGTGTCGAGTAAGAGATTGCTACGGCTGAGGTCAGAGAGGTCTTTTCCTGCTTTCTCCTCTAGGGTTTTGATGGTTTCCTGTCTCACATTCAGGTCCTTTATCCATTTTGAGTTTATTTTTGTGAATGGTGTGAGAAAGTGGTCTAGTTTCAACCTTCTGCATGTTGCTGTCCAGTTCTCCCAGCACCATTTGTTAAAGAGACTGTCTTTTTTCCATTGGATGTTCTTTCCTGCTTTGTCAAAGATGAGTTGGCCATACGTTTGTGGGTCTAGTTCTGGGGTTTCTATTCTATTCCATTGGTCTATGTGTCTGTTTTTGTGCCATGTATGTGTCATTTAGAGTGGTCTTAGAGAAAGCAAATTTCATACCCGTCAACATTAAGCCCTTTTTTTTTTTTTTTTTTTTTTTTTTGTAAATGGGCTGTCTGGAATCCCTTCAGATGTGCCCTGGGTATAAATATCTGAAGTATAAGAGATGAGATATTTGTCCTAGAAAACATCCATTGGAACATGAGTGGTGAAGAGAGAAAATCCGTACAATTACCTGCATTGTAATTCCCCACTGTGTCCTTCATTTGTGTTCACCTGAGTACGTTGTCTTGTGTCCTGTGTCACGGTTACAGGTGAAACATGGAAATGTACAGCAGAAACGAAAGTGTATTTGTGTTAATTCTGTTATTTAGAACTTCAGCTCATTTTTCCAGAGGACACGATTATCCTGCAAATTGTACTGTACTTAAACTGAGAAGTACCACTGAATTAAAATAAATTACCTAAGCCTAACTAAAATGAATAGGTAACATGTTTCTCTAAAACATGCTTTTCCAGGTTCTCTGCATGACCTCAGGATCCCCATCACCCCATGTGTCTCTGTGCCCATGGATAACACTTCCAGAGCGGAGAAGACCCCATTGTCAGGAGAGAAGCAGATCGGGCACAGGAGGGGGCTTAGAGGAAGAGCTTTGAGCCCTGAGGGCTATGATTCCATGTCTGGACACTGGCCTTGTCATTCCTTCTTATTTTGTAGTTCTTCACATACAAATAAGCAGCCTCTGTGGTGGAGGGGGATAAGGGGTGATGGTTGATCCTGGACTTAGATGCCTTCATATCAGGAATATGCTATTTTCTTAATTTACTCCATATTCACTCCATGAATTCTCTAGGACAAGAGCCCTTGCTGTTCTACATTTGCAGACATGTGGGGACACTAGTTTCTTCCCATAGCCTCTGTTCCCCATCCCCAAAGCTCTCAGCGGAACCCAAAGTATGGGTAGAGTTCTTTTGATGCCGATGCTGCCCACTTGGAACCCAGTTGTGGGGAAGCTAGTAGCAGATGAGCACTACTTCTTTAGGTTTTTGCTTTTTGCCAGTGTCGGTGCTTGGTTCTGTCCTATGAACACAGCTTTCATTTCTGTTCCACAGGCCATTATGTACGCAAGAGGGCCTGGTCCTTTCCTAGGTTCGCCTTGCAGGCTGTACCCCATGGATGGCCCTTCATCACCAGCTCTTACCCCTCCTCCACCAGCTCCTCCACATACTCAGTTTGGTAAGACGACCTGAACAGGATGAGTGACTGATAAAGTGTATTCATCTTCTTCATGATTGGCTTTGTGCGAATGATGTCGAGATGGTTGTGAGTGTTGGCAATCCAACTGCGACCTGCTTGAGGACGCTGTAGCATATCTCAAGTTTCTCAGGACATACATACAGTGGGCAGTGTCATTTCCCTGTAATGCGGTGAGCTATACGTTTCTCTTGTCAAAATGAAAGAGGATTTTTTACACAAAAGCAGACATATCAGCAGTACTGGTGCGTATTTTACAGACACAATGTTGTGGGTTCTGTGACAGATGAGGCACACCATTAACTTTAGGTGCTTCAGGTGTCCTGAGTGAAATGGGGCACATGCATTATATGACACAGTACTTGTGGTCACCATAATGGAAGCAGCAGTGAAGGAATGGGGGAAACTTGAATCACACAGGAATAGAAGGAAAGTTGTGGATGGCAATCAGAGTTTGAAGAGGTGCAGAGGGGAGGGTGTTGGGGTGAGTAGGATGGATTTGGAGGCCTTTCATGACAGGGCCCACAGCCTAGGCAGGGAGCATGAGGATATATGTAAGGAACTGCTTCATGGGTTCAAGCACAGTGTACAATTTAGTCATCATCTCTGGAATGTCAAGGTTACCACAGTGCACCCAGTTCATAATCTAAAAAAAGGATTGTTGTGTCCCTTGGTTTTCTGAAGGGTCTGCACATGTATGAAAGAATGTCCTGGAGATTTGGTAATTTAAACTTGGTCTTAGGAAATGCTTGTCTGCCTAAGTTTGTGTATCTCAGTGATACTACATGTGAAGACAGGTTGTTGATCAGCTGAGTGTCTTCCTTGGCCTTCAGCCTGAGTCAGACTCTTGGTGGGGAATTCAGGGTTGAGGAGGAGCCTCCCCTGCTGAACTCCGGTCACCACACCCCTGCATCTGCTGTCACCACCCTGCCTGTGGGTTTGAATCTCCGGAACTTCCCTCACAATTTCCTGAGGCTTTTCCTGTGTTCCTGCTGTCTCAGCCCTAATACCCACTCTCAGTGGGGCCATCTCAGAGCCTCAGGTTTGTAATCTGAGAAACAGGGACAATGTTGGTTTCTGAGATCAGTATGATGAACAGGGGATAAGCAATAAGGAATTTGTAAAATGTATGGGACGAATGGGCACTCACCTTCTCAGGGTGGAAATGAATGTATCTGCACACAGAAGATCATCAACAGATGTTCATTCAATTTCATGCAACTAAGAGTATAATGCCTGAGGCTGAGATTGGCAATCACTATTTTGGCAATCACAATTTCAAAAGATACGGCAAGGACCCCAGTGTTTTTTCTATGAAAATTCAGGTCCTACTTTACAAAGAAGAAAAAGATAACTATGATACTGTGTACATTCAGGGATCTATAAGATTTGAAGAGAGTCATCTTCCCTTGTAGGTAGACACACAGATGCGGCCACACAATTAAGTGTTCATCCAAAGCCACAGATATATTGTTGAAGACAAAATGCATAGAGGACAACAGAAGATCCCACTGCAATAACCCACAATCTCTTTGCCTTACAGGAGAATTTGAAGTTTGAAGAGGACCCTGAACTGTGAAAAATGGGCTGGGTGATGTAATATATTTAGAAAAGTTGTCTGATATGCGTATTTGACTAAATTCTTTCCCTGACCAATCCTGTCCCCTCTATTTTGTCTTTCCTCATTCCCCCTGATAAACCCATCACAGTTCTGACTCTGTGTCAGTATCTCTTTCCAGGAGGATCTATGGTCATTCTATTTTGATGTACACAGTGTGACTCCTGTATACATGGTCACAAACAGGTAGAATCTACAGTAATAGGGGCAGAAGATATGTCCCTATTTGAATTGTATTGACTGCACATGTCCCCCTGGTTCCTTCTGGGGTGGTGGACACAACCTTCCTCTAGATCTGGTGATGGTGGTGTTCACTCCTCAATAGGTACTCGCAAGCACACAGCGCCTGCTAGTCACAGTGGTGTGTGGTGATCAGCAGGGCAGCTATCAGTCCCCAGGAAGTAGCTAATGCCTGATTGCAAGAAATGGATGAGGGGTCAGCAGTGTCTCTGGTAGAACAGTGAGGAAACCCTGCATTAATCCAGATGTTGTGGACTCTTCCCACCTACCAGCTACCTCACAATAGCACCAATCCAGGTGGGAGCTGAGGTAGACTCATGGTGGTAGTTTTTGGGGTGAGACTTTGATGTCCCATATTCCTCCCAGTGTTTTCTTTTTTTTTCCCCTTAATTTTTTGCAATGTTTGTTTATTTTTTGAGCAGGAGAGAGAGACAGAACACAAGTGAGAGAGGAGCAGAGAGAGAGAAGGAGACACAGAATCCCAAGCAGTCTCCAGCCTCTGAGCTGTCAGCCTAGAACCTGACAAGAGGTTCAAACTTACAACCCATGAGATCACGACCTGAGCCGAAGTCAGACACTTAACTGACTGAGCCACCCAGGCTTCCCACTATCCTTAGTGAGGGATGGGCAGGGCAGAGGTCGATGACATGATATCCTCTCCTCCCTCACCACCAAGGCAGGGTTGGTTGTAAGCATCTGGCTCTTTCCAGGTCCTCAAAGGCCATGCATTCTGTCCCCGAGCCCCTGATGCCTGCAGGGACCTCCTTCCTCCCAGGTTGTGGAGGCAACCAGCCCTCCAGCAACTTTGAGGTCATGGCTAGGCCACCAAGGGCTCAAGGTCTGGCTGTCCACATGCTTCCCAGGAGTAGCTTAGAACAGCAATGCTGCAGGAAAGGTCAGCATGAGCAGCTTCTGTAAACAGGATTCTCATCCACTGCGATCAGGGCCTGGGCTAAAACATGACAGGAGAGAGGGGGACACAGGACATGTGGTGCCCTGCCTCCTGGACAGGGCTGCACAGAGTAGAAGGCCAAGGGCCTGGGGAGAGGCAGACAAAGAGACAGGCAGAGAGAGAGACACTGAGTCAGTGATGGGGGTATTGGGCATGTCCGAGAGAGTGAGAGGAAGAAACAGGGGGAGACAGGAGGAGAGAGAAGCAGAGGCAAAGAGGAGGCAAGGAGGAAAGGATGGAGCTGGTCACAGTGTGTGGAGGGGGCAATGGGCCATGCAGGAGGGGCTCTGTGAAGATGCTCTTAGTGTTGGAGGCAGAAAGGGTAGGAAACCTGGGCATGACAGTTCCCTGAGTGCAAAGCTCCAACCTCACTGGGGCAAGCTCTGTAGAGGCCATTGCCCCTGGGAAGATGGGTCCCCCTCATTTTGCCTGGCGTGTGGGGGCCCAGTCTTAGGATCGGTCATGGAGAGAGATGGCTTGAGGCAGAGTGTGCAGCTCATTAGCAGGTAAAGTCCAGAGTGTGCTCCATGGGGAGGTAACCATCATCCTCCCTCACTGCCCTCAGTCCCTGCTCCATTCCCCCATGCTTGAGCACGACCTTCCTTATGTTCCAAAACCAGGTGTCAGGCATTGTGCTGCCCCCAGAGCCAGCAGTCTGGAACTTGCAAGGATGGATTATTAATCTCAGCCAAAAGTATTTGAGAATAAGGTCTGTATTCTCCTTCTGGAACTAGTTATGTGCAACATGATAGTGCATTGTTATTCTTACATCTGCTGATCTCTGGATTCTGGATTGTAAGTGAGCAGTTTAAAACACCACAGCCTTCTCTTACATGAAAGGAGAAACCTGTCTTCACCCAGCCTTCCTCTAATTGTGAAGACATGGCAATTATTTTTTTAATTTTTTTTTCATTTATTTATTCTCAAGAGACAGAGAGAACACAAGTGGGGAGGGGCAGAGAGAGAAGGTGACAGAATCCAAAGCAGGCTCCAGGCTCCGAGCTGTCAGCACAGAGCCTGACGCAGGGCTTGAATCCACAAACTGTGAGATTCTGACCCGAGGTGAAGTCGGACGCTTAACCGACTGAGCCACTCAGGTGCCCCAAGACATGGCAATTATTATTTGAAGGCACAATTATCTACCTATGAGTCTGATGGAAATTATTTCACCCATCTTCATCCCTAAAGCACTTTTCATTGAAAATATTACCCATATACAGGCAGGAAATTCATAACAGATGTGTAGCTTCCTTTAGATGTGCATTCTGGCCTTGTCACATTTGTGTCATCAAACACATTATTGACAACGTGAAAATAAGCTCTCAACATCAAGATGGTGACATTAGAGAATGTGGTATAAATAGAATTTCATATGTTCTCAATTAGAAATAATTTTTTAATGGTGAAGGACAAATTTAAAGTATTGTCCAATTTTATTGAAATGTAGCAGACACACCATGTTGTATTAGTTTCAGGCATATATAATAGTGATTCCGTGTGTATACGTTATGCTCTCCAGATACCTATACAAGTGTAGGTATCATGTGAAAGCATGCAACACTTTCTTACAGGATTGCCTATATTCCATAGGCTGTACCTGGTATCCCAATGACGTATTCATTCCATAGCTGGAAGCCTGTATGTCTTTCTCAAGGGTGTCAATTTTTTATTCAACCCAAGTATTTTCGTGGTAAACACCACTGCCTGTGGTTCATTCAGCATGTGTCAATTTGTCGTCTGTATTTCTGGGAATGCTGCTTAAAGCATTACAAATGATATCATGACATCAATAAATTCGGTTTCGTTCTTCACTCAGTAAAAAGGAGAAGGAAAAGATTTCTTTGGGTCCCAGGCCCTTCATTAAGACCCTTCCCAATCTGGAGAACAGGCTTCTCTGGAACAGCTGCACTCTCAGTACTTCCAGCTGAGCAGCCATGGCCTTGAGCATTGCAGGAATTCCCACGAAGGCCGGCAGGGGGCGCGCACGCACCACGCCCAGGGAGGGGCAGGGCCTCTGCGTGCGCAGTGATGGCCAGAGAAGGCGCCTGTTAGGCTTTTCTGATCCAGGGCGCCACAGAGCTGGAAAGGCTTCCTTGCTTCTGAGGACCCAGTGCCTCTGAGTGTGGGCAAAGAGCCAGAGCTGCATGTCCAGCAGGTTCCGCCCCCGGGGGGGGGGGGGGGCAGGGGTGCTGGGCAGCTTCCCCAGAAAGGCCAGATGGTCAGTGAGTGGCACAGTCCCTTACATTTTCTGGGTTGTTCCGTGGCTTATTCCTCATTTCCCCTGTCGCTTTGTGAACAAGATGTATTTCACTCAAGGATCCAAGGATTCAGGGGGTCCCGCCACGCTGTGTCAGAGAGGCTGGGGTTGGCTTGTGCCAGGTTCAGGCTTATTTGGGGGAGAAATCCTGACACAAATTCGGAGGAACAGGAGCCGCATTCAGTTGGGAAGTGAAGACGCCGAATGTTGACTCTCAGGACCTTCTAGAAGAATGAGCTAGGACCCACTCTCCGAGTCCTGCCGCAACCAGAGCCCGAGGTAAAAACACAATGTGCCCTCCACATCATACATGCTTTTATTAACTTTCAGTGGGGATTTTTTCCCAAGAATGTTCTCGTCGTTGAAAACAACTGAAAACCTGACAGGGACGTTGTGCCAGGAACCTCCCGTTATTCGAATGTTCAATATTATCCCTGCAACAGAATTCCTTACACTTATCCTTTCTTGCGTTTGTTGGAAGGAATCTCCTCAATAATACCTTCAAAACATACTCGTTACCTTATCTCCTTTTTAGTTGAGATTTGGCATGTTTTCTAATTTCTCATGAACTCGTGAACATCCGAAATACTTTTAAATTGATTGCAGATTTTACTAAAAACTCATTCATGGGATCCCTCTGTGACTGCTGCTGGTCAAAGGACATACCAAGGCCACTTCTCAGTGTGGGTAGGACTGTAGCAAGCAAACATTGTGAATCCATTGTAGAAGAAAAAGCCTCATGGTATTCTGTCTTTATGAAACTTGATGCTCAGATCCCCTGTTCGATACATTTCCACTGTTTTTTAATTTTTCTTTTTTGCTCATTTTCTCATTCAGAGATTCATAGACCTGCCCGAGTTTTACATTCACCACACATACTTGCAAGGCTCCTTTCTGTCACCGTAAGAGAGAAGACAGACCTGATGCACATGCAAGTTTCTGTAACTTCAAGATTTGTTGTGTAGGTCTCTGTTAACTTTTCCCACCCAGTTGAAAATATCATCCCACCTTGAGTGGTTCCATAAAAAATGTAATCTATGTGCACCAGTATGATTTCATTTCGTTATACTGGGTTTCTTCACTGGATATTTTATGTATGTGTATACATTAGATGGTTTAGTCCTGAGAAAATCCCACACGTAGTTGAATTTGAAAGAAAAATGTATATCCTATACAGAAAATTAGAAGATTTGCATATTAAATTCATAAATGTAGAATTTTTGCAAGTGAAATTAGGGATATTTTCTGAGGAAGATGCAAGGGGAGAATAACCATTTCAGGGGGAAAAGAATGGTGTGTAGTTTTCACATGTCTGCAGGAGTTACTCAATTACATATGTGTTTATGAGCAATTTTATGACAGTGTCCCATTTTTCCAATTCATTAATGATTTCATAAGCTACGTATATCATTTTTCATTCCAAGATTATAAAAGTAAAACTTTTATCTTCTGTTGCTATGAGAGTATTTCCATTTTGTAGTAATTTTTAAAATTCAAGTGTAATTAACATCGGGTTATGTTTGCTTCACGGTGTACAGTGTAATGATTTAACACTTCTTGTATGACTTCATGCTCCTCACCATGGGTGTATTCTTCATCTCCTTCCCCTATTTCACCCACCCCCCACCCACCTGCCCTCTGGCAAGCA